TTACTTCACTATATATTCATTTCATTTTCAATGTAATCATTCACACACTTTCTTGTTTATCAATTAATTAATTGACAAATTTAGATTCGACTCCTTGGAAATGGCATTATTTCGGATAGGTCAAACAGACAGATTACAATTCGAACGTTGGATTTCACGCCATCATGAAAAGATTGAGGCTTTAAGAAAAGTTCGACCTGTATTTGTGAAATAGAATCAATAGATTAATTTATTATTCAAAACTCATTTCATTCAAAGAAAGATTCCTGTAGCTTTTAGTCTTACGATCTTCATATATTCTTATTACGCAATTAATTATGAAACAATTTTTTCGAAATTTATTAAATTCAACTATTTATAAAATAATGTGGATCTTTGTAACTACTATTTTTAATGATTAGTGTACAAAGAAAGCTTACTTTTTTCAAATTTCAGATGGTCGAAAATATTATTCATGATGAGTTATTTTTCTACCATTTATGTCTTATGATAATCTAAATAGTTTCAATCTATCCAGGAATAATTTTGTTCAAAGTCGGTCGCTTGTTTCTATTTTGGATGTAATAACAGCAGTTCGAAGAAATTTCAAACGATGTTTTTAAGTTTATCGAAGCGTTTTATTAGCTTGGATATTCCATATCTAACCAGGAAATCGCGCGTTTACGTTTGACCGCACATATCGACCGTGGACCGAATTAATTGGATTTGTGGAAAGCTCTCAGGTCTCCTTTCTCTGGATTCCGTACGAAACAGAACTGCTAGTGTTGTGAATTATATTTCTATTTATTATTTATTTAAAACACATAAACATTGGTACAAGGAGACACCAAATAGATACATAAATTAGGCTAGGATACTGCCCGGGTGTCCAAACCGAAGCAGGTGGTTTTCTTAGGGAGCCACACCCGGAGCCTTTGACCTAAAGATCTAATCCACAAGGCAGTGGAGTAATGTTAGGAGATGCTGTCCCATGGTAGTCGGCGACCAACGATTGGTTCATACTCCATTTGTTGCTTCAGGGTACTAGAGCCCTGGTGCACCATTGGTTTAGAATCAGGGTTTTCCAACTCTTCTAGGTGAACTCTCCATGTCCACCGACCCGGTTAAAGCACTGGACATTCACTTTTCGTCCTCTCAATTTCGTAAACAACACCCCCGCCATGAGAAAGCAATGTGTAGGACTTCCCTGGCGGAGGCTATATACGCGTGGCCATGTGGGAGTATTTGCAGAGGGAGAGCTGACTCTCCCCACCCTCGGCCGTCCCAGGACATTTGGGGGCAATTGTGTTTCTAGGCATACATCACCAATACATATCTTAACACTTAAGAAATCAGTAGTTCTGTACAAAAGGTTTTATTAGCGTCTTCGACTATTCTGATCTAGGGTTGGATTGAGAAACATTTTTTTAGTCATATGAATTATAAATGTCATCAAACATTTCTATCTAATTCAGAATTACCGTCCATTTCATTTAGTGATTAACTAAATTTTGGAAATGGTAAACGGCTTTCACAAATAATTAGGATGCGCAACTATAGTAATGAAATGTATATTTCATCTTTCAAACAACTTCAAGATAGTCGGATACTTTCACTTCATTTGTACGAATAAATTAGCATGAATAACAGTTATTCTTTTTGGGCTTATGTCCTATATTTTATACGACGTTTATGTCAAAGATGCGATTATGAAAATCACTAAAGACCTGACTGCACTGGGAATTGATAATTTCAAAAGGTAGGACCATCTGGTGTTGTGTGAGTGATAATACCACTATTCGTCTGAAATGAATATGCTTGATTATTTCAAATACATTTTTGTCTTGATGAAAATATAAAGTTATAAGTTCAGATTTTTGTATAGTATAAAGTTGGATGATCTAGAATGACGTACTGGATCTTGACTCACGTACTGCTTAGTTTCTTACTCGCTCGATCACCTGATTGTTCTTTGTTCAATAACTGACGGAGTTATGATCAACTGAAAGATCCACAGCTAGAGAAACCAATGTTGAATACTCAACTTCCATAAACGATGTTTTGGTTTATTTCTATTTAAACAAAATTTAGCTACTATGGCAACTTTTATCCTGGGTACTAATTTCAGTAAAATGTTACTGAACAAGAATAATTGGTTAATTGAGATTGTAATAAGTATTTATAGACGTAAGTAGAGACGTCACTTTAATATGCCATGAAGACTACTCTATTTTCTGTTTAATAATGTGTAGGATGATAAGTAATTTGACAATGGAAAAAACCAATCGTATAGTCTGATTTATGTTTTGTGGTAAATTAATTAACTGTTGATCTGGTGAAATAAATTTCTGCTTACTAATTAGCTGGACACTAGAAGGTATGAAGTTAGTCAAATAGACTGCACCTCAATTAATTATGTCTTTTGATTTTCTCTAAATCTGTCCCATGTATGTGATTAGTTCCTAGCGATCACAATATTTCAACGTTTAAGACTTGGTTTGTAATCAGGTGGAGGTATGTCTTGTGCAGTGAAATATTAAACCTATATGTATTTGTACTAAGATCTATCGAGAATAACAACCTAATCTCAGAATTTATTCAGTATGACTCAATGTTATGTGAATCATATATCTATTCAGTTAGTAATTAGTGAATCAGCTCCCTAACTAATGCAACTAAGGTTGAAGACGAGCACTCGGTGCTCGCTATGAATACACTCTATTTGCATATGTAGGCCAAAAGAAGGGTTAATAGTGTCTTCGTTTACATTTTGTGCAGCTTGGTTTTCATTTCTAACTGATCCCGTCTGGGAAAATGTTAAAAATCAAAAACTCTTGAACAGCCATTTCGTTCTAGTTTGAGGTTTTCTCAGTAGTGCGTAGCTACAACTCTACACTAGATTAAACCTTGGATATTAAAGTTTCACAGTTAGTGCGGTACCTATCAGTTATTTGATAAGAGTCATATGGTTTATGTTTATAACCTCATCCAATTTGCAATACAACAGTATCCTTTTTCAGTTCCATTGATTGGTTAGTGACTTAGTTGATTATATAATGTGCAAAAGTTAACTATGAATATTAAAAACCAATAAAAAACTGATATCTTTGTGGAATTCCCAACGTTTCCTTTGCCTCATTCTTCGTTGTTGAATCCCGAGGTTTAATAATCCTCCTAATTCCAACTGCTATGTCAATCGACATTGATGTTACCAAACCAGGCTTGTAAACGTTCAACCATGGGAGAACTGAGAATAGGAAGTCAACCACCCCTTTTCGACCAGGTTTTCTCATAGTTTTTTAACTAGCACTGCCTACTTTCAACAAGTCCAACCTGTAAACTCTAACGTTAACGGTACCAGAACTTTAACCGACTACAGTGAAAACCCATGCTATGAACAATGATTAACATGGCAAACGTTCTACGGAAATCTTCGAACACCACAAATGTAACTTTAAATTATAGTTAGGAGTATGTTTTCCAGAAACAAATAATACATTAGTAGAAATAATAGTTTTTTCTATTTATTGGGATATTACAAATATATTGTTTTTGCAGAATCGTTAGAAAACTAGCACACTAAAACACTAGCAACTAAAACGAACTGAACGAAACAAGAAATTGACTATCCACAAGATTTCGTCAAGAAATATTTATCAAATTGACTAGCGAATAGAAAATTGCCCCTTAAAAATCACCAAACGGACAATTTTGCTCCAGATGGAGAATTTCTCAGGAATGACAATCAGGTCACTAAGGCCCCGAAGAATATGTGTCACCCATTAACCAACAAACTCGTTGTACTCAATACTATATAAACCAGAAAACATAACGAAGACGAGCCGAAAAACATGTATTCATTAAACTTCGGTAAATTTCCATAAAAGTTACATAGGAAAAAGTGGCCTTCCTCTCCGCCAACGTTTACATGAATACCAGTTAGCTGTCGCACGCCAGAACACAGCTTCACTTATATCAATTCATTTGAACGGCCGTGGATACGAATCTGATTGAGACAACGCCAGAATATCTGATAGAGGGAACATGAAGAAACCTAGAGGATTTTTAAAAGCCTGGGACTCCGGTAAAACATAGATTATGAAATATATCGAAACTAACTAAATCTGTCAGGCATCGAAAAAAAGATTAACAACGTCGTGGTCAGAAACGAGGTCAGTAGAGAAAACAGTGAAGACAACATAGCAAACAACAGTGGTACATATATGGACAAAAATGAATCAAATTCCAGGTCGATAAATCAAGCTGTTGATCAGTTGAAGAGAAATTCAAATAACTCATTCTTCACAGAAGTTCGCTTTGATGATGTTTCCCTGAAGGAAAGTGAGAGTTTTAGAGTTAAACCATCCTGGTCAGAGGAAACAACACTTCTAAAATCCTCATTCTGAGCCGTAAGTCTTTTCCATCACAGTTTTATTTGTAGAATACGACTTAATCTTATAAATAGTGTGCACATGTGACTTAGAACAGCTGGCTCATATAAGTATTAATCCTGTAAACTTTGCACTCAACAAGACTTTATTCATCCCCTTTGTTTGAGGTAGATGTTATTTTGACGGTTATGATACTTAAACAGTACTTGCCTTATATTTACCATATTGTTTTTGTTCTTCTTATAGTACATCATCAATAATTTTTCATTGCAATTATATCAACTAACCTAACGACTTGGAATCAGTAGACTAATCTTATAAATAAACTTATTGAAACAACCGCTTTTCAATAATAACATATTCATTACAGCCGACCTTTCGAAATTGCAGTATTTGTTCTGAGTTATTGTAACCTAATCGTCTTTATTTAGTCCTCAGTCTTACTGGTTTTGACCACAGCAATTCCTCGATCCTACTGCTTATACTGTGAAATGGGAACCACTAAAATTCCAACAACCCAAAGTGAGAACACGAAAGACTAATGCAATGGAGACTTATTGACTACTCAGAAACACGTGCCTAAACAAGTATCAAAATCACATCATACTTAGACCGAAATACAATCATTTATTCACCAGATTTTGCACACACATTATACTAATACAAGTGGAAATACATAGGGTTTGTATGAAAACAAAGCTTGATAAATATGCTTCACCCGAATTGATACAGGGAATAGAATTGTCACATTGAACAAAGTTCACACTTCTCACATTGACTGAAATAAAAAAATGAATTAATGTGAAAAAATATTGACCTACATAATATCGTCTTTTTACCCCGTCATATGAGTAATGTTCAAATGTGTTTCAACAGTTCATGAATAATCTTGTTTTGTAATTTGATCTGAGGAATATTTTCAAACAAATTATGATTTGATAATCTTAAATTGCAATAATATTTCACACTAAACGACTGTTTTATTGATTCAGCAAAATCTGTTTATTGAGATAATAGGAAATTATTTGAAAGAACTGGATACAAAAATTAGAAATGTAAGTTAAAACTGAATTATTTGTAAACGCTCTTACTCAGATAAAGTATATAATCATAAAATAAGTAAAACAAACAAAGAAGTACACTCCTAAATAACTAACTTAATTGAATATTAAATCACCGAAAATTGTACGTCTCTTTGGAATAGGTTAATTGTGGCTTGGAGCACACATCTCAGAATTATATATCAAAATACAAATAAAGTAACCCGATTAAATAAAATGTTGCAATCAAATTTTATGCACAAATATAGATTGTATGACAATCATAGTCGAAGAAGTTTAATTGTACTAAAAATAAACAGTTATGTACACTTTAGAAAATTTAGAAAAATGACTAGACTTAAATATTTTGATAAATTTCTAAATTAAGCTGCAATCGTTGTCAATTTTTCAAAATATACTTGTGTATACTTTAATGAGTCCGAAGTCTCACGATGGTGTAATAGAATTACTTATTGTAAGATCAATTGGAAAGTTAGTACTTTTAACAAAGTGATTGATAATTTGAATATTATACGTTGAAGTGAATCCATTTTTCATTTCGTATATTCCAAATCTTACGCATCCTCACTGATTTGTATAAGTAAATAAAATTTTTCATAAATCGATTATTGTAAGTTCATTTGTGAGAAACAACAATTACTTTCCAGATTTATAAAAATTCAATTTATGGGCGAACGGGGTAAGTGTGATAGACTATGATATTGTCGAGTATAAAAGTCATATACAAACTGTTATAACTATGATAGATTAAATGATAAAAGTGATAATGATTACTAAAAACAATCGAAAAGTAGTGATAATAATGGTGATAATGGTCATAATAATAACAATAGTTGAAGGGTAAATTAGAAAACACAGGTACTTAGATGACTAGATTTATAAGTGTTCAGACATTTTAATGAATGATATTGAAATAATAAGGTGTAGAAAGGTGCCATTATTTTGTCCATTACTACATGAAGGGTAGTATCAAGATTTACTGAATAACCTGTGCAACTGGAAGACATATATTAGGCGCAGTTCCTGGTACTGTCTTACATGTGATAAGTGAGCAGAATAATAACTAACTTCTAAGTTAAGCAGAAGCAGCCTTATCTGACGTACGAACCACAATTTATGCAAACAAAAAAAGATCTTACTACTTACCTAGTACTCTTATGGTGGCCAAGTTATAGCTACTCACCTTTTCTTCTTTCTTCCTCTGTTTTAAAAACATTCTAAAAAATTATTTCGTTTATCTAACCTAGAATGAAGTTCTTTCAATTAACTTTTAAAAATTAATGTATAGTCTATAAAGGGTGGAATTGAATAACATGAAACTGAACCTTAGTCACTTATATTTAAATTTCAAATGACAGAAATAGGTATTGGCAAGTTTGATACAGTGATTCAATCTGAGAATATATCTGACCAGTAGAAAGATTTCCATCCGGCGAATATGGACAAGAAGGGTTATCTATGATCAAATTATTCATTATTGATGACTAAATATGTGTTCAAGTGTCGCGATTAAAAACACAACTCATTATTTAACTAAGAAAACATCGATTTTAAATAATTAAATACCATCAATATTGATGAATACAACTTCTGACATCGAACAGAGATACACATCATTAACATGCTCAGCAAACCTTTAAAATATAAATCCACCAACAACTTAACACTCAGTAATCTAAGTAATTAAGGGTTTGATTAACCTATATGTATAGCCTAATGAAGATACATGAAGAGAAAGTTTAATCTAAATCCATGTAACTAACGCATCGTTTGTCTTATCACGTGGTTCGTAAGTGGTTTGTATATATGCTAGAACCTGTCCATCTACAAATAACTTTATATACCATGGAAGACATTTTTTCACTTTAAAATCTTAAGCATTTAGTTATATATTGTAAGTAAATGATTTACTTCTATGTAACATTGATATTTATCAAAATACAATTTGACATTATAGACATTAAGTGTCAGTGTTTTAACCTTCAATGCCTACTAGTAGCTGATTTCAAACAAATAATATTACGTGTAAGAAGGACGTTCAGTTTTAATCCGACAATATCTTATACCGTCAAATCGTTAATGTAATAATGAGGAGTCCATTTTGTCCTGTTCTAGCATCTATTTTCATGCTTAATATTAAGATAGAACTTAAGAAAGCAGCCGATGACATGACGTATTGTTTTTGGCATACTAACATCATGCTCATACTGTATAACTGTGGGCAGTATTCAATTCATTTGTTAGAAGTCTTATAAGGCACATTAAAACTAAGGAACTCTAAAAGAACAATAATTTTCACCTTTTTAAAATATCATCATACGGCGGAAGGCATATGAAACTTTCACTTTCGGTCTATAGGAGTAGTATATAGGATGGTTTACACTCGTACTTAAGCAGTTTTAGTCTATTTAGCTAGGAGAACGTATTACCCGAAAATCTTTGCTACTAACAAACTGGAAGATTTGGCGAACTTTGAAAAGTGCCTGTGAAACAACTAATACGTGTAAAAGTTCATTGATAAATAAATAAAAACTCAAGACTGAACATTGGAAAAATTTATAGTCAGTACAAACTTACTTTTATTCACATATTTAAAAGGGATTATCATGTGGGATCAATCATTTAAAGGCTCAACTAAAACTTTATTCTTTAGTCAAATAAATAATCTAACAGAAAACAACATGTACACTAAACTAATCATAGATCGACAGCTAACGCATTCATTTTATCATCACCAATTGGGTATAAATTAATATTTACTTATAAAAGCATTCATTTTCAACAGAAGACAAGCTTACTTTACAGTTTTTAAAATATATTCTAGAAAGCTTTCGTTCAAGAACAATTAAATGTTCATTAGGATAATTTCTGGACATTTCCGGGATATAGAATACCATATAGATATTTTAGAATCTTTTTAACCACTAAACAACCATGTTCTATCTTTTGAAATCTAATGAGTTTGTTCCTATCAATAATCTGTAAACTGATTTATGCTTTCAGGAATAATGATGTTGTCAACTTTTTCTTTACTTATCCTATTAGTATAACGTTTGTATGATTAAATTATGTATTTGGAATATTTCTACCATTTACCTATTTTATTACATTAACTTTTCGATCTTCTTTTACGTTTTATCCTTGATTTGTTTATTATATAACCATTAATTTCTAATATGATAGACCTTTTTCTATTATCAATGTTCCACAATTTGATTTTGTGTATAGTACTTGGTTACATCATTTTATTCAATTATTTAGCCTTATTTACATCTTGATAAATCATGTTGCTATGTGTTATTATATTAAATCTAAACCAAATTGATTTATTAAAGTATTTTCAATTCAGTTTTGTAATTAAGACGTTGAAACTTGGTAAGCAGCTGATGTGAACCTAATGAGGTAAATTGAATTTATATTATTCTGTGTAAACAGTTATTATACTATGTCAAATTGTTTGTAATTCATGGATAGTAAGTGATATGGCAGCAATTAATGGATTAAAATTTATCATTTTATTAGAATAGTATAAAATCACAGAATGATTACATGATGAAAACACTTCAGTAATACATAAATTAATGGACTAGAAAAAGGATTTTCAAGTTCCATTTGTTCATTTCCTTGAATATTCCTAGAATTTAACTAATGTTATCTACACTGTCTTCTATAGAGTTTTTCTTCAAGCCATAATGATTCTATATCCATCCGGGTTTTTTTTTTGAGGGATACTTTCAAAATTCTTCAACATATTGAATGTTATTTTCTTATCAAAAAGAAGAACACATTTTAGACATCCTTGAAATGAGATAAATGTTATTCTACTCTTTCTAATGTGTTTTTAGTTTTATTAAACTAAAAGAAATTATAAGTTGTTAAAATGGAAACGGATACAAAATTGTGCATATAATGGTGTATTATTATTTAGTTTTAGGCAATCATGATGAATTGTTTTATAATTTATATGAAAAGTATTCACTATGATTACTCACTCTTGATAATATTATTGTTTCCATGTACTCTATTAAACTTTTTGTTTAGTATCATTCATTTTCGGTTTGTAGCATGGTCTACATATATCTAGTACAACTAGACGAAATGGTTTAAAATATTTAAAGTAAATAAAAAAATCAAACAATTCACGTGTAAAATGTAAATTCCAAAATATATTTGCTATTTGAATTGCAAATTTGGACTGATTCAACGCATTTCTAATATCACTATATCTACCAATAATGTAAGCGATGGCTTGCGGAATCGATGTTAAAGTATATGATGCTGAGTAGACTAAAAAGAATACAGTTGTATGTAATTGTCTACGATCAGTTACACTCATCTTTCTTGTAGCTGTATCTTTTACATGTTTACGTATACGTAGAAGAAATGCCACATTAATACTGACTAATATTAGACTTTGTACGCAGCCTAAATTTGAAAACAATGCATGGTATAATCGAATTGCATATTGATTTGGTTCTAAAGAACATTGTATTTTTGATTCAACAATATACCAACCACTTATGAAGAGTACTGGCAACATCATCAGGAAGCTCAACAGATAGACTGCACCACATGCAAACCAAACATAATATTTCGGTAGCTTATTAAATAATATTGGAAAATATATGCAAAAGAAACGATCCAACGCAGCACAAACTAATAAATTACACATGCATGTTGACACAGATGAATAGATGAATCGATGTATTCTACATACCATCGGTGAAACGTTGTTTATAATAAAATACATTTCGCCTTTCGTGATGAATGGTAAACCTTTAGCAGAAAATAACCATAACCAACCATATATTATGTTTGTTATTGAATTCATGATTGCAATAAATGCCATATAGATCATATGACGTGGCATTAACTTAATTTGAACAAACGTAACAGCTGATATGAATGTGTTTGAAATAAGTCCTAAGATAGATATAACTGGTAGTACATAACCGGACCATGCTCCTAACAACATAGATACTCCACAACTTATTCGATCGTTCTGAATTATTAAATTTGATGTATTTATTAAGGATGAATCACAACCTTCATATGTATCCCATGGAGTATTTCTAAACTGTCCAGTTAAATTTTCCATTAGACTGTATAGTTGACAGTATTGAAATTTTTATTATAGTTACAAAATAGTTTATAAATTAATATGACTGAAATAGGATATTCATAAAAAGCGGTATTTTTAAATATGTATTCATGCTTGTTGAGAATGAACCCATATGAAATGATAATTTTGCGAAGAAGGAAGTCGAATAATATTAATTATATTATGATGTTATTGAAGTCACGTATTTTGAAGCAAATGCAGACACAATAGAATGTTCCATTGACCGACTTCAATATGCTTTATAAGAGAATTATACCGTCATTTGCAGATTAGTGAGTTATATTTTATAAAAAGAATATTTTGAATGGATTTTATATCAACTGTAAATAAGTCCCCATAACATATTTTTGTATGTAAACTAGTTAAAAGAAACTTGTCTTTATATTTAGTTGCAATCTATGAATTAAAATTAAACTAACGGTGATAATTTTACTGATTATTTCTATGGGAATTCAATATATTCACAGTTAATAATTCTAGTATGCGAAACTAAAATAAAAACTCATCATATATATATGCTGAATTCGCTTAATCTGAATAAGCGTATTTATCTATTTCCAATATATGGTATCGTATCAATTTCAAATTGCACGCGAAGAAGAATTGAACGGACTTAAAATTGATACTTATCAATGTTCTATTGACTAGGGAATATAAATAAATGAAAATTCTTCTGGAGACATCACAGATTTTTAATTCACTATCATACTAGTATACTGAGTAAATTTTTGAGTGTGCGTAGTTTATAATATTTAGAATATGATACACAATCGTGTATTTAACTAGGTTATATATGTGCTCTGACATTTCTCTCAGAATACAGAAGGTGATTAATTTCAAGGGCTTACACACAAGTTTGATAAGGAGTTTAATTTGATTACATTCAGGAGCTACAAACTTTCGGAAAAAATATGGAGTTTAAACAACCCTATATGGTCACAAAAATTATTCGACAGCTCATTATTTTGAAACACGAAGAAAAATTCGAGAAATAAAGTTGTTGTTAAGATGAAGAGTAAACGAGGTTGAAAAACTCTAAATCAAGTTTATCTTCAGCGGCTTGGTGCTATTATATCAGTCAATATTATATACGTTCTGAATACTAATTAATTATTATTTTTTATTGACATCATGAATCACTAAATGATAGACCATTGAAAACCTGGAAGCACTGAACGGCCGTTTCACCCTAGCATAGGACTTCTCAGCAGTGCTCAACAACGATCTCGCATGTACAGTCAAATATATAGACAACCAACTGAAACATCCTTTGAATAGTCCCGGAGAAATAGTTCTATTTGTTTATGTAGCATCATAAGGTAATCGAATTATATTTCCTATTATTTTTTAAACATTAAGATGGATTAGTTTGATACCGATAAATGAAGATTTTATTCATCAATTAAACATTTGTTGTATTGTATTAATTCGTTTTCGTTTTTGTTTTGTTTTCCTCAAATAACTAAGAGTTGTTATCTTTATAACCAAGAGACAGTTTCGTTCAAATTCCCTCGCGCTATTGCGTATCGAGATAAAGTTGGAAATGTGCAGATCTAAAAAACGAATTCATGGAATTTTGTATGTTTTAAAAGTCTTTTTATAATCCTTAAGAAATTATCTGCAATCCAAATATTGTTTTGGGAACAAGAGAATTTCCAGTGAAATATTTTCAGCCAATTTATTCTCAGGCCAAATAATTTTAGTTTGTAAGTTATATTAGGGGTGAACGAAGTTTTCGTTTATATCATTTAGTACTTCAATAGTTTCCTTGCAAGTAAGTCTAGGAAGATTTGCCCAGAGGGTACAATAAATGAACAACTAGAGTTCACAAATAATATTTTGATTGCAACGATACATCATCGGAGTGTTCTGAATAAGAGTATAGATAAAGTGAACAGCAAGGTAGTGATATCAATGTCATAGGAGAAATCATTCATTTTGTAGCTACAATTCAGCAGATATATAGCTAGTGATGTACCACAGAATAAACTGACTGGAGTAGCAAAGAAGACGTTTTATGTAGTTATTCTCTCTATATTTTTCTAACTAACCTGTGGTTGTTCGTCAACTAAAAGATATTTTATCTGGTTTTGTGACAGCCATACATGTCTTCAAGTTCAGCTACTGCTTCAGAGACAACTATATCGGATGTACAACCGGACAATTCGGCCAACGAGTTAGTGAGCACCTTTATTCAGGGTTCGGAAAGGGTATGACTACAATAGTACACAGCTTCGTTCTATAACAATCGCTTGATAGCCATCATGTAGTAGATAGGGTCATTTCATTAAAAGTAAGTTGTCATATACATTTAACTTTTTCTGATGCACTTCAAACTCTTCTTCTATATACGGCCAAAGTTATAGAGATTTAAGCTAACAAACCTAATCTCTGTATTCATAATAAATTCCCAATATTCCTTTCTCATCCTAGACCCGATAAGACTTATAAAATGATTTTACTTTTTATCACTATCTATCAAATCCTTCGTCTGTCTATTTTCTTCCACCCATTTTTTCTCAGTCATTGTCCACTGTCTAATTTTTTTATCATCAGGCTCTACAGTTTTAAATTATAAATTATTTTTGTGTTACAATAGACAAAATATTGCAGTAGAAATTACTATTCAAGTCTCAATTAGCATGAAGTTCATCATTCTCAATTTACCATTTGTATTAATACAACTTTAATATTTTATCTATGTGTAATACAATAATTTTGGATTTGTAACAGTGGAGCCTGACGAAGATGTTCTCGTAAACTATCGTTCTCCTGAACACTCACATATAATGACAATAGTTGATAAAACAAAATATTCTTCATAAACAATCTGAACAACTTTTGTTCAGATCAAATATTTTAAAACTCTGTATTTTAAGTTATTAAAGAATATTACTAATTCGGTTACATAATTGATAGTAGATAAATGTATTGTTATGGATCGGAATAAAAGTAAAGAAGATTAAAATGTATTTTAATAAAATCTGATTGCTTAATGACAATGTGTATTATCAGATGATGTACCACATGAACATAGAAATGGTTTGGGTACATGATTAGTACGGCAAATCATTTAAAACATCTTATGATGAGTTTAGATGAACATTAATGCAGAACAAATACGAACTTGATATGTACATTTACGTGATCTAATGTCCCAAGGTGGTTGTATAAAATCTATCACGTTATAGAACAATTGTCTGTGTCTGAAAACAATTTAAAATTAGAAATCACATACTCATAAAATGTGATAGTGTGAACCCGTTCATCTTGACTCAGATGGACTCTCTGTTTGATTGTTTCTTCATACTATAAATTGATTTGTATGTCATTGTTCAATTACTTGAATATTTATGTTTACTCATTATTGAAGTTTATTTTATAAGCATTCCGTTATGATCGCTGCTGATATGTTGAAAATTGGGAGTTCAAAGTAGAGCTCTTTTTCTTCAACTTTCCACAGCCTCTGTAAACAGTTAAGCATGTTTCGCGTACTGGTTGAAAATAAAAGTAACCCAATACAATATCAAACAAACTTCTACAGAAGAACAAAGTCCATATTATATCACCAATGTTTTGACACAAATCAGAATTAGCATCAATGAAACCCAGTACAGTAGCTCTGTTTATGATGTACACAACACTTTGTGGAACACCAAACACTGCATAGGATGCAGAAAATATGATTAGAAATGTCAAAGTTTGAAGCTGTTTACGATCCGTCGCAGTTGTGTTTTTCATTGTGCTCATTCGTCGCAGTTGTTTGCGTATGCGTACGGAAAACATGATATTTATGGTTATGGTGATGGATAATTGTACAGGTCCCATATTTGTTACCAAAGCATTGTAAAATAAAGAATAGATACTCTCTGGTGTAACCCAACAATGAAGCTTTCCTCCAACAGCAAGCAAGCTGCTAACGATTGCAAATGGAATTGTCATAAGAAAGCTTATGAGCCACACTGTACTGAAAGCATACCAAGCGAACTTGTTTGGTAGGTTTGAGAATTTTGTCGGGAAATAAACAGTTAGATAACGATCAACCGCTGCACACAATAGAAAGTTACACATAAGATTTGAAGAAAACGAATGCCAAAAACGGAAAAATTTACACGAATCTATGGACACATACAACAGGAAGAAATATTTATCACCATTTGTTGCATACGGTAATCCTTTGGTTAAGTAAAACCAAAACAAGCCATACGCTATACTGACAAGTATATTTGATATCAGTGATCCAAGGAAGTAAATCGACGATCTAGTTTTATGATTGGATGCAATTAACACACTAGTCAGTGTAGTGTAAATGATAAATGATATAATTAGGAATACGGGCAAAATATAGGCTGATATGAAACCCAATACTGTTGATGCTATGCACGTCGCATAAACACCTTCTGTCCATTTCACTAATAACTTGTTACAAATTAACTTGGAACTCCATGGGTTTTCTCTGAATGGCCATGTAGTTATGTTATACTCCATTTTTTCGATCGTTATTTCTTGTTAAATGGTGTTGTAGTTTAAAGGAAAATGTTCTTCTTACACAAGGTGCTTCATATTCATGAACACATCCATGTTAGTAGAGGAATTTTCTAATCGCAATTTGTGTCGGTAACCAGCTAGTTTTGCAAACTTTATCAAAGTTAATAGAAAGGTGTTTCCACTAATAATCAATGTAAGTAATCAAATAAATGGTTAATCATTCAGTTATTTTGCTGATTTCATACCATTTCACCTTTTGAGATGCATTTAGGAACCAAGACTATTGCCAAGCCGAACATTGTTCACTTACAGATAGACATTTTAATGCATTTGTTCATCGTGCTTGAAGTAATTATTTTCTTGTACATATATGCTTTTGTTCTATGTGGTTTGTTAGTTTAAACCCCTTCTTTAATGAAGTAAGTGTCGGCCATCCAAATATAGGTCAATTTTATTTCACTGTGGTTGGTTAATACTGTTTTGTAGTGATCT